CAATTTGCGCATGAAATTCCATTTAAAAGAGAGGACAGTGAAGGTGTGTTTTTCCGCTATTATTCTAGTCCCAGTCCCTGTTTGGAATAAGGTGGAGTTCGCTCTCCACCATCTGACAATTCATCAATTCATTGTTGACAGTTTAAAGGGACGCTTTCGATTGCCTTGTCACAGCGAAATGATCTATGGATACCATCAGATGTAACCCATCTACCAACATCCATTTCTTAAAGTCTCAGACTATTGTATTTGGATAAACTGTTGAAATGTGGAAGATGAGGGCCATTATGTGTGGACAGGGGCAAAAGCGTACTCTATTGGTAGAATGAGAGAGCTGTTGTGAAGTCATGCCAAAATAATTTCGAATAGTAAAGTTCGCTTTCAGCAGATTAGTACCTTGCATTTGGTGGACCCCATCAGTTACTCATTTAGTCAAATAAAATGACATGCAGGTAGGGTGTATCATTAGGCTTTGAAAAACCACGACTATCTGCATTATCTGTCAAGTAAACTCAATGAATATGTTAGAGTGATCTTGCTCTCATTTAAAATTAATACAGGTGCTCTATTTGGAGGGAAGTAGTCGGATAATCGAGCCATGTGAGAAGGTTGGACGCTGGCGTCACTTCTTCCACGCCCTCTATCTCAATTGCCACAGCTTCGACATTGACCCTGGCATCAGCCAACGTGTGCTCACAATCGAGCTCTTAAGCTACCTTAATGAGCGCCATGACGAAGTGGAGTGCCATGACTGCTTTGCCTCGGAGATTAAGTCCCAACTTTCAGGCGCTGTAGTTGTGGTGCATACAGCTAGCACCTATCCCGATGTGAACCAGGAGGGCATCAACCTCCAGCCCGGCACTCTTACCGAAATCAAAATTAAGGCAATCGAAAATATCCAAAAGGAACCCCCCTATGGTCGTTGTGCTCGAGACACTCCCACTGAAATTCCCGGCCATGATAATTTGAGCTATGCCTACTCGGAGTACGGATGTCGAATGTACACAATTCAGGTAGGCTGATTCAAGTTGATTGTGTTACTCTTTGACACTTTTGCGACCAAAATTGGGTATGCGTGTTGGCCCAATTTTATTGCCCGAATCAGACATCCCGACTGTGTGATGTGTTGTTTTTTTACTAATTTATGATAACCCGAGGCCTAAGCATCTGAGTTAAAGGCAATAAAATAAGTGCGTCTGTAAACACGCTCGCATGAGCCAAACCTGACACACTCGAGCCATACAGATCAGGCTTTTCTGACTACACTGGGACGCGACATCAAAATTGCTAACAATGCACACCTTTCTTCATTGCCTCATCCCCTCTTATTTATCACAAAGCAAAAATTTATATTTATTTTTAGCTTAATTACACTGCAGTCGGGTATCTCTTAGAAGGACGAGAGTTATTGTTCCTTTAATTAAAGGAGTTGCTATGAGGAAAAAAGGTTTCGCCTATCCCTTCCCCTGAAGAAGACTTTTTGCTTACAGAAGTTGTCCGATGAACGTCTTAAAGACAGAAATAACACATCACTACTCCGAAGCAAACACCAAAGAAGGTTTCCGATGCCTTGCAATTTGAGGCTGGGAGTAAAGCATTTATGAAGCCGCCTTTGGAGTTACGCATTACAGCATGATTGACGCGGGTGTAGTACAAATTTAGACACTGTTCAAAGTACGCCGCTTGTCAAACCAAACCCAAGGTGTGCCCTTAGAGGCCAAAATGTTGGAAGAACGAAGAGTAAACTTTAATGACTCCCTCCCCTGTGTGACCTGGCCTGCGAACACACACGCATACACTCATGCAGACAGGAAAAATTCTTACGAAGTGGGGGAATTGCGATGGGAAGGGCTGCAAGGCCCGTTAATATCATGTATGGCTAACCTTTGAAGTCCTATGCGGTGGCGTATTCAATGACAGTCTAGTGGCACAGGTACCACAATCAAGGCTCAATGCTGCCTGCGTTTGGGCCGTAATTAAAAAATGAATGCTATAAATGCATGAGTATAAAAGCATACACACCTCCTCCTTTCTAAATGGCCCGCTTGAACCTCTCTCCGAACAATGTCCAGTGTATTAAAATCACTCGTGAGCCAAAAGTGAAGGATCTACAACGGTGTTGTACCACAATGATAAGGCTTTCGCGTCAAAAAGCAGAATTAATTATGATTTGAATGATGCTTTAAAATCTAGTGTAGCTGGTGTGCCGACTGAGGTCCATGGAATTGGTTATGAACGAATTTAAACGAAGTCCTAAGGCGGGTTACTCAGATCACCAATTTATTCTCATCTCTGTAAGTTAGAAGTTGTCTAGTCTGCTGATGACGCTCACAAATTGATATTTAACCGATTTTAAATACACCCTCATTTTTGCTGAAGCGTCCTACTCACGTTCATGCTTCTCCTTACCAAGCTCGGACGTCCACCTTCCTTTAGTGTCTGGTCGCCATATCCAGTCAAGAAAAGGAGTTTAGGCATGCTAGAGTGGCTTCACTTATTACTACCACCAATTTAGTGTCTGGCTTGTCTTGTGGCCTTAATAAAGTGCAATGCTGTCTTATGATTTTACAGAAGCATTTAAAGATTAATGGTCTGATAGCAAACGTAAACTGAATCGCAAGGGTTTGAGAGGAAGGCGGTCGGGCATTGCCTGCATGTCATTGAGTCCTCATGCTTCACCTGCCACAATCAATAATGATATCTGCCCATCTTCCCAAATCTGATGATGTCTTATCAAATGTAACCATACCACTATTTAGAAAGAATTAAAAATAACCAGTACATGCTGAGTGAGTACCCGATTCCTTCGAGTCGCATTAAGTGTAGCAGAAGGAGCAACTCCACTTCCCAGGTGCACTTGGGGTGAGTTGACAAGCTGTTACGAATAGCAGTTCAAATGTTACAATTATTAGCACTGTAGAAGAGCTGTCGCGCCCTGATCAATGAGTTATAACCCAAAGTAGGAAGGAGAACATTTGGGAGCTGTAGAAGCCATGTCGTGAACTCTGACATGAAGTCCACTTCTCCAAATGTGGACATGTGTTTGCATCAAAAGAATTAGATTTAATCATTTAATCTTGTTCATATTGCAGGGTGAGATCAACAAAAATTGCAACTGCAATGCCATAGAGTTTCCCATAATAGACGGTAGTCTACCGTTTTGCATGTCGATGGTGGATTTTGTAAAAAAGAACCGGTGTGTCTACGAGAAGATGGTGAAACAGGCAGAAATGCGTAATTCCACTGGACCAAGTGAAGAGTTCCTCACTTGTGAGGCGCAACTCAACATGGCTCGAGACCGCATCCTCTGCAAGGCTCTCGTTATGCAGGAGTTCCAGGTAAGTAATGATACGTTTTTCTCCTACTTTCAAGGCAGCAAATGTTCCGAAAAGGTTGGTGTTAATCGAATTTAGGCATTTGCGCTGGTTCCTAAAA